TTTTATAAATTATGTATAATTAACCTAAAAAAAAATACTTTAATATTTTTAGCAACAATGCAGTATCTAACGATTGAATCAACTTCGCCATATATATTGACAGACAAGGATTCTACAACCCAAAGTGTATCTACTGACATGAATTCAATTTCATTACGAACGTTTTCCTTTTTTGGATCTTCAATAACAGCCATAGAAACAACAAATGCCATTACAAGCGACATACGCACAGAAAACCATACATCACATTTGGCATCATCTTCATCATTGTCAATGCAATCATCGACATCATTATCGTCATCGGAATCATCGACATCATCATCGTCATCAACTTCATCATTACCATTAACTTCATCATTTACCTCTTCGTTAAATCTACAACAAGAGACAATTAGTAGTACAGAAGAAAAAACCCAAACTTTGTCAACAGAAACTGCTTCTTTCTCAATACAAACTGGTACAACAATGCATTCAATTCAAAGTACGACTGCATTATCGAGTCCATTTCCTGATACTCAATCACCGCAAACCATATCAGAAAAACCTACAGTATTCTCTACAACAACACACAGCTCGTCTTCTGTAGGATATCCATCTTCTTCTGTTTTACATTCATCAGAAACAAATACCGAAGTTTCTCCTGAAAATACTGAAGCACACACTGTTTCTTCCTCTACACAATCAAGGAAGTCTACTTCTGATGATGATTTGGTAACAACATCATCCAACATTCTTTTGCTAACAACGTTAAATTCTCAACAAACAGAAGTAAGTACAAGTACAAATTTTCCTGCAGGGTCCAATACAACAGAAGAAAACGGAATGAGCATTTCTTATTCAGAATCAACGCCAACAAGCTCAGATGTATTATCAACAAAATATACTGGCAACAATCTCTCATCGTCTATTAGTAACACATTGCAGACGACGAATACAGATTTTTCATCAACAACTACTAATGAGTTTTCATTCTCAGAATCGACTTCATCAGAATCAACTGATGTTCAAATATCTTCATCAGAGCCATTGTATTCAACTAATCCTGATTTGACTTCCCTTATTGCATCAACAGTATCAACGTCAAACACAGAGAGTTCCATTTCGGATGTTCAAGCAACAGACATATTTATGACATTAACAGAAAACATCACCACAACGCAATCCCCCACAGCTGAAAACAACTCACAGACTGTTACCTCGTCTAAGTCCTTAGTAGCAGATACAATAACGACAGTTTCACCCGACACCAGTATAGGTCAGAGTGATACAACATCGATGGAAGCAACGGATTCTACTTCAAAAAGTGATTCTTCAACATTGATTCCGCATGTGTCATTTTTACCATTTACTTCCACAAAAACTTTCCTCTCTTCAAAACATGAATCTTCTTTGAGTACAAATGAGACGCCCACTCAATCACTACAAACAGAGAATATCGATATATCGACGGTCTCTACTAGGACATACACAACAGATCAAAAGACCAATTATCCTTCAAGTATGCATACTGATACCCATACAACCAGTTTTCCTTCTGGTATATCAACCGAAGAATTATCCACAACACAGAAATCACAAGGTCAACCAGTAGAAATTACAAACGGAACTGTTAAATGCATATGTGTTTGCAAAGATACCAAAACCACGTTGGAGGAAGCGATGGAGGAAAGGAAAAAAAAGTTAACAGTGGAAAAGAAAGATCTTTCCTCAACGACTCGAAAACGTACTAGCGCTCCTGACTTTCGGCTTGCCTCTACAACAATTGGTTCAGTTGGTGCTGGTGTTTTGGTATTAGTGGTAGGATTAATATCATTTGCAGATATCTGTTCGGGGATCCTTTTCCTTTATCATGTTTTTGCAAAACTTTTACTGAAACCACTTTTAAAAACTTTAAAGGAGAAACCAAGCATCGTTTGATTTTACACTAAACATCCTTAGGGAGAGATTATGTGTTAAAAGATATTAAAACTCGATGGGTTTGTTGTACAAAAATGAACATATATTTCAAGAAGGATGCCACAGAAAATTTTATTCAATATTTTTTTTTAAAATCTTTAAATCGTGATTATAGATTGAACCATAGATAAAATCTCGTTATTTTTTGTATGATTTCTGCATTTAGATAAAAATCTAAACATTGATTAATTTGAAAATAAGACACCTTTAAGTTGAAAGTGTTCAGTCATTAAATGCACAATAGGAAAACCTCATGAACAAGTATTTAAAAAAGTAGTGTAGATATTTTACTACTTTAAAATTAAATGTATAATTTATGGAAATATGCAAATAAATTGTGACTTTTTTTAATCTACGGATGAAATGTTAAATATATAATGGAGACGTATTCTTTTTTTTTACACAATCGGGACATCTTTTTTTCTTTTAACCGTCCACTTATCTTTGAAAAAGTCACAACACTTTTCGCAAAAAGGAGCCAAAGAAAAAAAACGAGTATTCTATACATGTATGCAAGAAAAACATGTACAAAGTATTCAAGGAATACCTGTCAAATTTTTTTGATTTCATGATGTGATCAATCAAGTCACTTGCGTAATTATATGCATAAAATGATCACGCAAGCGATACGATTGATTATCGTCATGAAACAAATAAAACTGACAGTTATTGCTTATATTTACATAGTCTTAATTCGCAAAACAACGTTCACTAAGCCCCGCTTCTGTCTCTAATTTTTCCGCCCCGCACGTGATTTTTTAAACCGCGCGTTTCGATGAACCAGTACATTAATGTAGAAATAAAGTACATTTACAATTTGTAATTTTAAATCCGACAAAAACTTTGAAAATGTAAATATAAGGAAATAACGAACAATCTCAAAAGGCCTTTCAAACAATTATTAATATCATGAGCAGAACAAACACAGACCTTCTAAAATTATGTCATTAAAAAAAGATATTTCACTAAGTCATTCATTTTTGTAATAAAAGAAATATATCCTTTGCCCAACACAGATTTTATATGCTGCAGATATGCTTTTTTGTCATTTTGATAAAGAATATTCAGAGAAATTTCACATATGATGACCAGTAAAGTAAATAGAAGAACTATTAAATTTGTTTGTGTTATTTTCTAATATGGGTGTTTAAAAAGTATGGCCATGCATAGCAAGAAATGGAATGACTTAAATAGACCGGGATCTGTTGAAGCCGGGGTTCAAACTAATAACTTTTTAAACCTGAACGAGAGCTCTATCAACTAAGCTTGAAGGAATATTCCTGAATTTTTAAAAAGTATTTATATCAATATTCATTATCAGTTGTATAACATGGAGAGTTTTTGATCAAACGATTTTTGTAAAATCGCCCAGGGATGCAAAAAAGCGTTGCGACACACAACACATTGAACATTTCCGAAGAAAGCAACTTTTTTTGTTCTGATATGTCCTGATTTTCTAAGATGTGTCAATTGTTATACATAAGAATTCAAAGAAAAGGAGAAGAGAGAAGAAAAGACCATAAGAAATCAGGTAAGGATTGTAGCCCATGGGCCTCTGAGAAAACCATTATCAAAGTCAATATCCATTAAAAGAATGTAATGAATATAGAACACAGAATCCTACAATTATCAGAGGTCTTTAAGACTGATTAGGATACTCAGAGAGGCCAGTAATTTATCCGCGCTTGATTTAAATAGATTTTTCTTCAAAAAGCTTACATATATTTCTGATATTCATTTCTGGGTTTTCCACGGATTTGGTTAAACATTTTTTTTAGGTTGTTTGTATACTAAGCATTATTTAAATAATCAATTAATAATAAATTATTTATTTATCATTTTTTCATTTATTTTTACAAAAGATGATTTTCTGAATGTTTCTCCTATTAATACTTTATCCTTTAAGAGAGTATAGAAATAGCATTTATGTTTCAAATTATCAACTCAAAACTAAGACCCAGTCTCTATATGATCTCTTTAAATAGTCAGTTCTTTCCCTGTTTTTATTGCCCTTTTCACCAATTTAATTGATTTTATTCAAGACCATCTTAAATTTAAACTCTTTAATTACTCGGTGTAGCTTTAATTTAAACTCTTTAGTGCAGCTGGACAAAATAATAGAACAGTGAAGGTAAGCTGAAAACTATTTCTTTTAGATAAAAAAAAATTTAAATTCTAAAATTGATTTTTTTAATAAAATCTCATGAAATCTTCAATTTATGAGAAAAATCTGTGAGCAGGTTATTCAAAATGACCCCCGTAAACACAAAAGGTGGGAGAAAATACGTATTTAAAGAAAACCCATGATGAAATTATCAAGTTATTGCAGGAATATATTCATCAGATTCAGCTATTTATTCTAAATTTATACAAATATTAAATTTAAATTTAACAAATCGGTGAAGAACTGTAAAAAATCTTTTAATTGAAGAATTTTTAATAAAACAAATATAGAAGAATTTCATTTAACCGACAGAGATTATTTTAGACACCGAAAAGCTAGAATATAAAGAGAATTGAAAATGAAGAAAATATATATGATAAATACGTAAATACGCGGGTCATTCCAAAAGTTTGTAAACTTTTGTCCTTACTTTTTTATTTAACAAAATTAAAGCTGGAGACCAACACCTTGAGGTTAAAATTGCGGAAGATTCTTACGAGTGGATACCACGTGGTATTCAATAGTGTCTGGATCAAAAGTAGTAAACTTAATTAGAACAAACAGATCACCAACACTTCGTAAGAATGCACATGTAAATTTATTTGGTTGACCGGTTTCGACCAGAGACGGTCGTCATCAGAACAATTATACAAAAATATTCTTTGCTGAAGTCAAAATTGCGGATGACGTTACTATAAACAATTAGAAATGCGGAAGAGTTATACAGTATGCAGATGACGTTGCTATGAAAATGCGGAAGATTTGTCCAGTATGCGGATTAGATTTACATTATTATATAAATTCTTTGACACTTTGACATTATCAAATAAAAACTTATGTATCATCTACAATATAATGCATGGAATATTTTTTAAGTTAATTAATTAAATAGTCCATAAATTCCGTGAACTGTGATCGATCTGTTCTGTAATCCTGGTGGAAGTTCATCTTGACATACGGTTTCTGTGGATGTTGATTGCGTGGGTTCGTATGATTTGTTGGCTGGTAAAATTCTGAAGATTGGAGTTTTTGTAGATCTTGGTCGGCTTTCAAACGGACGTTTCCATTCTTTAGGTTTTTCGGCTATTTCTCTCAGATTGGTGCAGGTGAATATTAAACTTTCTTTAAATTCCGTATCTGGGTGCTCTTTAGCGATATGGCGTTGAACAACATCTTTACGACAGTAAGATTTTTTTACAAATATCACAGTAGTATCTAGTTACAATTGGATTATGTTGAAGTTCATTATACCTCTTTAGATTGCTGGCTTGTTTGAATTTACGGTTGCATGTAGTACACTGGAAGTCCGCTTTGTTTGTTTCCGATTTCTCTATATTATCCATCTGTTTTCTCTTGGTATATTTAACCTTAACCATATTTTAGATTCAATCCTTGTGGATGTAGAGTTTTGAATATATGTATAAAGGCTTCCTCCGTTCTTAGGCGTTGGTTTATATTGTTTTTGATTTTCACGAGCGGCGTGATGGAAACATCATGTGGAGTGTGTGATTGTGACGTGTCTGATTGTGACGTATTAGTTTGTGACGTAAAGTGACGAGACACAGGTTTATGTTGATTGGCGACTTTCATATCGGCGAAATGTCCATACATCCTTTCTCTTAGGGAGTTTCCTGTTTGGCCAATGTATTGAATAAAACATTTTTTACATGTGATTGCATAAATGACTGAAGTACTGTTGCAATCAAGATTTTGTTTTATGTAATAAGTTTTGCCAGTGGAAGAAATGAGGATGCTATTAGTATTACTGACGAAAGGGCAAATTTTACAATTCTCATAACATGGGTGGCTTCCGATGTTTTCAGGACTGGAGTTTAACTTTGAATGGACTAGGATACTTCTTAAATTTGGAGGTCTTTTATATGCTATGATTATTCTCTCCATCAATTCTTTTGTATCTGGGGATTGTTCTAAGATCGTTTTGTATTTATTGATAATTGATCTGAATTCTGGATTAAGTCTGTTGAATGTTGTAACTAGTGGAATTACTCGTTTTTCGTGTGTTTTATTTTTATTCTCAGTGAGCAGATTGTTACGGTTGTGCTTCCTGGCTTTCTCTATAGCTTGTTCAAGCATCGATGATGGATAGCTTCTGGCTAAAAAATGTTCCTTCATTATTGTTGCGTGTGCTTCAAAATCGTTGTCCGATGAGCATATTCGTCTGATCCTTAATGCTTGGCTGAATGGTATACTCCTCAACATGTGTTTCGGGTGGTTGGAATTATAGTGTAAATATAGGTGGGCATCGGTGGGTTTCGTGTATAAGGTGGTAGATAGTTCTCCTAGGTTATTAATCCGCACGGTTGTATCAAGGAAATTGATTTCTTCTGTAGAATGTTCATAGGTGAATTTGATTGTACGATGGAATTCGTTTAGATGGGACATGAAGGCATGCAGATCCTCGCTACTTTCCGTCCAAATAAGGAAAATATCATCTATGTATCTCCACCAAATTAACGGTTTCACTTCTGATTGTCGGAGGAATTCAGTTTCTAGGTGGTCCATAAATATAATTGCATAGTTTGGTGCGCATTTTGTTCCCATACTTGTTCCCTGGGTTTGTAAATAGTAGTTACCATTGAATTCGAAGCATGTTTTAGTTAAAATGAGGTGTAGGAATCGGAGTATAATCCATGTGGGTATTGTGGGATTTTCTCTTGTGTCCAGTGTTTTCTTGCATGCTAATATGCCATTGCGATGTGGGATAGACGTGTAGAGAGAAGAGACATCTGCTGTTACTAAAATGCTGTTTCTTGGAACTTTTTTTAAATTCTGGAGTTTTAGTAGGAAATCATTTGTGTCTTTTATGTATGAATTTACATTTTGAGCGAGTGGTTTAGGGAAAAAATCGACTGTGGCTGATAATTTTTCGGTTGGTCCGCCAACTGCGGATACTATGGGTCGGCCTGGATTGCCAGCTTTGTGTATTTTTGGAAGCATATAGAAGATTGGTGTACGTATCTGGTTGATTTGAAGTTTGTTGTATCTGAGTATTTCTGGTGGTATCAAATGTTTGACTCTTTGTACGAACTCATTGATGGTTTTAATAATTTTTGGAGTGATATCCGTTTCCAACAATGTGTAGTTTTCTTGGTTGTTTAGTTGTCTATGAGCTTCTGAGATATAATCTTCACGGTTTAAAATGACTATTGCTCCACCTTTGTCTGCGGGTTTTATGATGATGTTTTGATTATTTTTGAGGTTGGATAAAGCTTGAAATTCTTCATTAGTGAGGTTGCGGTAGGGGATCCGTTTTTCATTCGTTTGAGTGCATTGGTGGGTTAGTATGTTGATGAATGAGTCTAAGAAAATGTTTTTGCCACTCGGAGGGGTCCATCCTGATGGAATATGAAATGGATTTGGATTGATGTTATCAGTTTGATCTTTAAAGTGTACATTTAGTCTGAGGCGGCGGTTGAAAATAAAAATGTCTCTTAAGATAGTTGATTGGTCTGGAGGTTTTGGAGTTGGGCAGAAAGATAGGCCTTTGGATAGAACTGATATTTCTTGTTGACTTAGTTGATAATTAGAAAGGTTAACGACTGCTGTTTTATTATGGTTGTAATGTTTATTTAATTTTCTGTATTGTTGCCTAGGGATGAATTTTCTATTGGGCTTTTTTCTTGGCATCGGGGACTTTTTTGGTTTCCTTTTGTGTTCTGTTGTAGTTCATTGAGGTAGGAATTGCGGCTAATAATTTGTTGATGTGTTCCATTTCAGTGACGTTGTCTGTATTTTTGAGATTGGATTTAAGCTCAAGGATCTGTGTATTGATAGTATCGACTCTGATATTCCAATAATCATGTAGTAGGCGGATGAGGCTGCGACTAAAGTTCAAGTGTGCTTCCTCCCAGTTTAGGAGGAATGTGGCGTTGCTATCCGGGATTTGCGGAATAATTTTCACTCTTAAAGTCTTGGGTATCAAATCCTGTTCTTGGCATTTCTTTAAATATGTGGCGTGGTTTTTTGTTCTGTGGAGTTTGATGTATAGTTTTCTGAGGGTTCTAAAAATGGCTACGTTTTCTTCAGATATTTTTTGGACCTCGGTTGATCCGTCGGGATTATCTGGGGTGGCTGCTTTTGATGGAGTGGGGAATTTATGGACTATTTAATTAATTACCTTAAAAAATATTCCATGCATTATATTGTAAATCATACTTAAGTTTATATTTGACAATGTCAAAGTGTTAAAGAAGTTATATAATAATGTAAATCTAATCCGCATACTGGACAAATCTTCCGCATTTTCATAGCAACGTCATCCGCATACTGTATAATTCTTCCGCATTTCTAATTGTTTATAGTAACGTCATCCGCATTTTTGACTTCAGCAAAGAATATTATTGTATAATTGTTCTGATGACGACCGTCTCTGGTCGAAACCGGTCAACCAAATAAATTTACATGTGCATTCTTACGAAGTGTTGGTGATCTGTTTGTTCTAATTAAGTTTTTTATTTAACGTCATATTATAATATTATCCAAATTTGTACACAAATTTTTAACAACAAATATAAATAATTTGAGTAAAAAATTGGAATATATCTTAATATTAAGGTATGTCAATCGTCAGTTTTTTTTTAGAAAAGTTCAGGCAGAGCCTCTTACTTCAAAATTATTTATTATAAGTCAATTTTCATAACATATTTAAACTGAACAATGTATACTTTTCAACATTCAATGGAAAATCTGCTCAAAAATCCACTAAGAAGCGAGATTTATGACGGACTATTTCTTGTGGTGGAAGGATATTTAGCAGAAAATTCTGCAAATCTGCACATTCATTAAATTTAATATCTTGGAACTTTAGTCTCACATACTTTTACTCGGAGAATATTTTCCGTTATGATATGCTAGGAATATTTAGTATTAGTCTCAATTTATATTTTTAGAACAAATTTTACACCTTCTCTCAACAAACTTTGCCGAGAAATGAAGATATATTTAAAAAGTCAAGAAAAATTTTGCAGTGTTTTTCGCCTGAAAATCACACGATTTGACCAATATTTCAAAATCAACATCACTGACCTCTACTTTTTCTTCCATTACTTTAAACTACTCGATACTTGTGACTGATCAGCACTAAAGTCGTAAAGAGTTTGATACAAGAAAAATTTTATTGCCTATTTAGATTTTTAATACCCCAAATATGTTACTTTTTAGTGCAAAAAGGTCACACAATAATTAACGCGCATTAATTTGCAATATTTGTTCAATGATAAATATTATTCAAACTATGTTACGTAAAATAAGATTATATTTATTGCCATGATTACCTCTGATAAAATATTAGAAAGGTTAATGCAATAAACCGAAGAGTTAAATTTTAAGTGCACAAAGGTCAACTTAATTGTACCGTAGCTCAGTAAGACGCACACTGACCCCCTATTTTCTCTGCAATTTTGAGTCATACTTTATGAGTACTTATCCGAAATATACTTCTCAAAAAATCCTTGATTTAACAAATTTCACTTGTGACATACCTTAATAAAAATCATCAAAGATTTAGAATAGCAGGAATGGGGTCAACATTGAGTAAATATCTAATTTTCACTTTATAGTGAATATAGCCATACTTTTAATAAATGGACCTAAATTGAAATAAAATTTACATATTTTAATGAAGTTTTTTTGTATTCCTTAAAATGCTATCAGATAGTGTAATATATCACTCCGTTAAAAGATATCAGTTTCTAAATACATATAGCCTTGAATTAAAAAGGCAAAAAACCATGACGACTGAGGGCGTCACGGAGTAGCGAGTAGCAACAAAATTTTGCTTTGCATTCGGGAAACGTCTTTAACAAACTTAAAAAATTCTGTATAAGCCATAAAATGTATGAAAAATAAGCTGTGTATTTGTATAAAAAGGAAAATACAATTTTTGAGTGGTAGCGAGTTTGAATCGGACGATGGATGGCCTGTAAAGAAACAGGTTATAGATAAATATCTTGTCAAAAGAGGTAGGAAATCATTAAACGTGATGTGCGCTTCACTGTTGCGAAACTGATAGAGTTACGCAGTAAGGAAGTTGAAAACACTGACAATCTAGTTCAAAATATTTGTTCAATTATTAGAAACCTAAAATAAGTGTTACGGATATGTTTTTATAAATGGACAAAACACTACAAACCGTGTATAAAATTAAAAAGCAGAGTAATTTTGAGAAACTTTCTCGATGTTGTTTTTGACGTTACAATGTTGGTTAACCGTGCTCCGTGGTAACAAAACATGTTGCTTTTAAAATCGGTAAACTTGAGTTCTATTTAATAAAATGGACAAATTCGACAAAATAATTTTTTTATTTACGAAAATATGCTGATCTATAATCTTGTAATAATAATATGACGATGATGAACATTGCCTACGTATTTTTTGAATCAGTGCATATTCATTAACTGTAAGAATAATTTTTTTTTCTTTTTTTAATGAAAAATTTACATTTTTTTTCTACCCTAAACCAGTTTAACGTATAAACCTGCTATTCAAATTCATCAGCTTAAGTAGCTGTATTCCTATAGATCTACTTCATCAGGCCTTATAAGAATAATTCCACGTTTATAATGTTCAGAAAGGTATCTGGTGCGTGGTTACAGTAAGGTGATTCTACATCTATATCTGTCTTGTTTACTTACAGTTAAATAAAACATGTCCAGAAATTAGGTTTGACATGTGAGAAAGCAAAACTAAGATATTGATTTAGTTTTCACAAGAAACTTGTTTCTTCCATTCTCTGTAAACTTAATTCGAGTGTTTGCTTTTCTTAATTGTTCAAGGTTATTGCACTCTACTGTTTACAGAATATTAATTTTGTTTCAGATGTCCGTTTACTCATTGATTTTGATGACGTTTCTTTTCCTGCAAGGTAAGTTAGATAATTAATATACTTCACAAGTTTTTATAACCATAAGAATTAATCTACATAAAAAGATGAAAAGAACAATTTTAGAAATCCTACAGACTTTTTTCCAGATAAAAGTAAAAATTTTCAAAGTTGAACATAATTTGAGTCAAATATTGCCACTTTTGAATATCTGCAGCAACCATCCTGAATTCTTAAAAATTTTGAAGGTTTATTTCGTACTTTGAAAACTGATTGTTTGCTCCTTTATTAACATTAATGATACTCCCATTTTTTTTTTTTAAATATTGATGTAAAAAAAAAATCATACTTTACTGTTCCATTTATGATTTGATTTTTTTACATTAGTTTTTGTTTTATTTATCTTTTTACGATAGCTCAATTTTTAGAGGCATATTCAGTAGGACTTCAGATAGGCAATATGACAATAGAAAGCTTTATACCTAACAAATGAGATTTTCAAATACGTTCTAGTATCAGATAAAAATGTGCCATAAGCATAATTATTACTTCCCCTGCATTTTTACTTTGTTCAGTTAGACACCCTGCCTATTCTGACCCAAAAATCCGTTTCCCATAGCAGTATAATTAGAGAGGTTTAAATGAAGTAAATCTAAACGTGATCTAAAATACATTGTAAGGTATAAGGATTTGCAATTGCTTTGTTTTTTATCCCTGGTTCTAGTACAGTCTGGCTTCAATTATGTCGGCAATTATAAGCGAGCAACTTCTCCTTACCAAACACAGTACAGTGTTTTTGATTGTGAATCCTTGTGTACCCACGATCCATCTTGTCAAGGATATGCTATTGATACTTCTAATCGGGGATGCTTTCTCAGTACCTGCAACACTTACATTTTCGACAGCTCTTGCAGCACCTGCTATTTTGCTGATAAGAAACCAACAACCGGGCCCGTGTTGTGTCCAGGTGATACAACACTGGCACATAAAACAACAATGAAATTGGTTACAACTGAAGAGGAGATGACTACAAATGACCTTGAAACCACATCTATTTTGGAAACCACAAGTACTATGGAAACCACAACTACAGTAACTATGGAAACCACGAGAACTACGGAAACCACAGCTGCTTCCGTTACCACAGAAAAGAAGACAACAAATCAACAGACTACAAGTCATGAGATTGACACTTCAAGTAGTTTTGAAACCTTAACATCAACGGAATACATAATTGTTACCGATCAATCAACTGTTATGAAACAAATAACAAATGGGACAGTTAAATGTGTTTGTAACTGTAAAAAATTCTAACATAACATTAGAGGATCTAATTAGTCTAAGAAAGAAAGAATTAAGTGTAAATGTAACACAAATTTCTTCACATGTTCGAAAACTCACATGCGCGTCAGATTATCGACTCTCTTCAAAGTCCATTGGGAGTGTCGGTATCGTTGTTTTTACAGCTATCTTTGGTTTTTTGTTTGTATCTGACATTTTACCACTCTTCCGTGAATGCAAAAAATTATGCGAGTAAAACATTTAAAATTTATAAGTAGCTTATGGTATGTGAATATTAATTTACAAATTGAATTTTCATCATTATTATAGATGTCACTTCAATGTGTTTTAAACAGATGTCTGTTTTTGCGAGCCTCGGGGTTGTCCCAGTAAATTTTTTTTTGAATATTTTATAAACTACCTGAATAGAATATTTCTTTGCAAACTTTTGAGAAATTTTAATTTTGTCATTTCCGGTTAATAAACAAGGTTTCGTTGACATTTGCTTTTGTAGATATCATTTAAAGGGTTCCAAATCTAGGTGGTCGGCAGGAGACAAATTCTTGACTTTCAAAATATAGCATTGGCAGCAATGTTTTTTTTGATAACCAGGCTATAAGGAAACAGAATTAGACGAAAGTTTAATCCTTAAAAACGTAATAATTTGGAATAACATTAACAGCAGAAATATGGCCTTTACGCACAGATACTGTAGAAGCACAAATTTTCGTGGGGATAAAATTTCGTTGTTTTGTCATCTAGAATACTTTCGTGGGGATTAATTTCGTTGTTTTGAAATTAACCCTATTCAATATATAGTCACATAAAATTTCGTGTGGGATTTAATTTCGTTGATAATTGTTAACAATGAAATAAACGAAATTTAATCCCCCACAAATATTTGTGCTTTTACAGTACTACATATTAGTTAGATACTGCACAAAAGGGCGACGTTGAGCAAAATTGCGGCACACCTAAATATTACTCAGTGTTGTGTGGAGTGAGGTTTGACTACTGGTCATACAGGAAAGGAGCTGGGAACGACACAACAACATGTATCAATCACAGGTTACAACATAGTAAAAAAGGTTGAAAGGTAAATTAACTGGTTTTCCGATGATTGACCACGAGAAAAAAGACTGAAAAACTTTAAAAGGATATTTAGTAAAACCAAAAATATTCAAAATATTCTTTTGAATATATTTCGAATATAGGTCAATTGTTTTCATTAGAACCAATTAAAGCAATAAACATTCACATGTTTGGAGTATCAAAAAATGTATAATTCTGTATGTAATTTACCGCACAGTGAACAGATTGGAGTTTTCTTGATGAAAGCAGATCCAATCACATTATTTTAGCAATCATAAAGCACTTTCTTCTAGAAGACATCCAGTGTATCGAGAAAAAATAAAAAAAAAACATATATAGGGTGTTCAGATACCGTGATATGTTAGAATTGTTCAACATCTCTATTAGTCATTTTTATAAGGACCTTTTAGAAGAAATTGTGGAATTCAAAAGTTACGTTCATGGTTTTTTTAAATGAATGTTAAATTTGAAAGGAACGATACTTAAACGTAAATAAATTTATTATTGCACAGAATATTTTTTTTGCTTATATTTTTCCATTGCACGTTTTAATTTGTCAATGCCACAAATCGATTTTCTCAGGTACTACGTGTTCACCCAAAATTTTCTAAGGTTTAAAGACCAAATGCATAAAATAAAACGTAACATGAGCTATCATATGATGTACAGATAAATCACTGATTAAGCGTAATAACCCATAAAACATCATGTACAGAATGCGCAAGTTAACAAAGAAAGTTATATCCACTTATATGCTACTTATTTAAACTCAGCGGCAAAAAACGCGCACTGACTCTCCGAAGAAGACGACCTAAAATCCAGTGAATATGTAGTGTTATGAACTGTTTGCCTTTGTATGGATTATATAGGAACTATAAATAGACTATATAATAATACCATTTATGTCATGATTACGTTAACATTTTTCTTTAAGAAGTCATACTGTCATGTCTCTCTTTTGCATTCTTAAATTGTTTTTCAATAATTTAAATTGATTATTTTCGAGACTTCGAGGCCTGCATTCTGGAAATTATTTCAGAGCCAGGAAGTTGCTAGACAAGGTAAGTTAAGGAAAAAATTAAATACAATAAACATAATGATATTTTATTACCTTACCACTCACCACACAAACTCAATAACAAACCATTTGTCTTTTTAATTAGCGTTGGATTTATCACATCATAAAAATCATATTTCTGAAGTATGATATTTGACCTCAGATCTTGCAGTAAAAACGCTTTTTTTTATTCCTTTGTCAAGAATGTATTAGATTCTAATTTAAATTAAACATATTGAAAGAAGTATTCACAAAAGTACTGTAATCTACATCGGATATCCACGTCAGAAATGAATTTAGAATGTAAGTTACAGTTTTCTTTAGATTTCGCTGTATTCGCAAGTTGTCTCATCATACAATGTTATTCTTTCTTAGCGGCAGGTGTTTTTTTTTTTAATCATAATTATTGTTGAAAATCAATGATTTTCTAGTAAGGCCGAGGAACCGTTTCCAGAATAGGGGTACTTTTTCTTGTGATAATGAAAAATGTAATAAAAAATAATTTTAAAAAAGTTATCTGAATACAGTGTGTGATAAACTTTATGATTCTTTGCTGCAAACTAATAGCGTTTTACGAAACTGTTTTTTACATGATGATATAAAAGATCGATACAATTAAAAAACTCTTTTCCTTCATTATTCATTTAATTTATATCATTATACATGTACATGTATATCAATGATCTGAAGTACACAAATTTTGAATACTATTATTGTGATTTAATAATACATTATATTTTATTTTTCAGATGTCCAGGATAACTCTATCCTTTGCTCTTATATTTGTTCTACAAGGTAGGTAATACTCTGACTATTACGACAAATGGGTGTTTCTTTATTAATACTGTAAACCAACTTTCTTCGCGAAAAAAATGTTCTAAACACCTCAATTTAATAGTCAGGGCTGATCGTATTAAGGGGAAGAAGGACCTTTAGCTGAAAAAATACCTGTCGTTCAATTTTTTCATATTTTGTAGATCTCTAATTTAGTATGTCCCACATACCTTAAAGCAGATATACCAATATGTTTCTAGACTTATTTTTGAGATATTGAGTAACAAATACTTTGCCCCACAGTGTCAAAGTGAAGTTTTGATTCTCCGTGTTTCTGGGCCCATTACTCGGACGAAAATTGAATTTTTTCAGCATAGATAAAAAATATGTCAGCGAACATGTGTCTTTTAAAATATTTCAGAGTATGAATATGGTTAAGAATTCAAAAAAGCAAGATTCTTTTGTCACACCGCATCTAAAGACGGAAAATTACGTACTTCTTAAGACAACTGAAACAACAAAAAACTTAATTTGCAAAAAATCCTATTATTCAATATTTGGAAATTTACGGTGAAATGCAAGTTCGTCATTTATTGATTAACTGTAAAAATTTCGATTGGTGAAGCTGAACTCAATATTTCTCAGGGCATAGCTAAACAAGACATGAGCATGAGAAAAAAACGTGTCATGTTTACATTTCTGGAGTACGGGAAAACCTAACTATGAGTAGTATAGAGTGATCGTTTTTATGCTAATTTGAGGTGCAAACTGATCTGAGGTGGAGAGGTGGACTTTAAAGGCGGAAGTATAAAGTAAATCCGGATGCTGATAATGACTATGTGTATTTATAGGGAAGCAAACCCGGATGATTTTTTACTTATGATTAGCTAATACACATACGTTTAGTCCTGTGAATATATTAATGTTATGACGAGTTGAAACTTACTACGACAATAATGTATAAAGATCCTAAAGTGTGTGAATTAGACGTATATATTGCTTTGATTCATAAAAGTGGGTTTGATAAGAATGATTTGTCCTATACGAACAAATGAGACGAGAAATGTTAAACATGTGGCCTGAGTCAAAACACAAGTTTTAAAACAAAACCTTGAAAAATGATAAACAAGTCGAAAATGTTCAAAAACTAGTCGTTTAATAAATTGAAGAGAAGAAATAAAAAAAGAGACACGGAGAAGTGGGAATGAGAGCAATATTTTACAACACTATAACAATCACTGATTTATTGAAATGAGAAGTATATAGCCTTTTTTCATCATAGTATTTTTTTATACGAACGGTTTCTTTTTAGTGTTAAGACCAAACAAATGAAACGAGAAATTTTAAGTATATGAGGCCTAATTTTGAGTCAAGACTAACGTCTATAACCAGACCTTAAAACATGATTAACATGCTGGAGTGAAACCTCTATTTGCTTAAGAAATAGACATTTAATAAATTTTAGAGAAGAAATATTCAAATAAAGAGAGACGGAGAAATTGGAATTGGAGAGATATAAACTAATACTAAACAGCACTCAACTCTGTCATCACGAGAGACACAAAATTTGACGAATTATATTTATGTATCAAAGTATATTAAAGTGAACTGAGAAGCTCAGTGGAGGAAGAACAATACAACTACCACCGCCGAGATTATTTACATGATTGGATAGTAGTAAATACAAAGATTGCAACTGGACAAAGAGAAAAAAATTGACTTGATTCACAATTTAGTCAAATGTAAAATCATGTAGTCAAATATGATTAAGGATTTGTATTTACAAATAAATTTCCTTTATTCAGATCCGTTGTTATTTTCCGAAATAAAGCTATTCTGGTACTGCATTATAACGTATTACACAAATCAGGATCAGTTAGTCGTCAGTTTCCGTTAATAATAATATATACGTGTACTTCAAAATATTAAATGAGCAGAAACATATAAGAAGAGAAACTAGAGATACAGAATTTACTTGGTTATGTATAAAACGAACGTTAAAATATGTTGAAACAAATTCGGAGAATAAATGTTATTGACAAATTATAGCGATGGAGCATCCTTGTCCTCACTGCAACAAGACGTTTAGCAGTGAATTTGCAAGAAAACGTCATTTGGACATACATTCAAACAAGGTGAAATTGAAATGTCATTTTTGTGGAAAAGAAATAAATCGGAAAGACAATTTCGAACGTCATTTGAAGACATGTGAAAAGAGTAAAACGTGTTCCCATTGCGAGAAATGTTTCAAAACTTCCATTCAACGACGTATCCATATACTTAAAGAACACAGGGATAAGTTGTTGAAATGTGAAAGGTGCAAAAAAGAATACTTGTGTGAAAAGACTCTTCAGCATCATCTAGGAAGATGCAAGGTATGAATTATTTACATAAATTAAAACACGGAAGTGCGATCGTGTTTAAGAATATTCTTAAACATGCTCGACTAAATAACGATGGGGTTCTCCAAATAATACCTTTATATTTAATAAATGTGGTACTTCTTAACTGGCAAAGAATATTTAACGATTCTTGGTTTTAGACATAAAAATCAAGTAATTATTTTATTCATTTAAAAAAAAGGCATATTACACTCTTTTTTTTGTTGTTCTTTCTTATTTTACAATAAGAGAAAAATTACTTTTAATTGACTTTACACCTATTAATACCGTATTTCAAAAAGGAAGCAATAATGACAAAAACAGAACGAGAGAGAAACTCAAACATTTTGACAAGTGTCAAAAACAATCTTACAATTTTGACTATAAATTCTAGAAATGAATTAAATAAGTAAAAAATTTTTTTACTAATATGCCTTTTATATATTTAGGAACAAATATAATCAATTTTCTAGTAAATGAAATTAGACAAACGATCGGAGAAAATCTGAATCAAACACAATATTCTTAAACATGTACATCTAAAATTTTAATTATATCCCCACCCTCTTTTATTTCCAAAGTAAAAACTATTAAATGTATTTTTTTTTTGTTTAACAGAAATATCAAGATATTCCAGCAGCTAGTTATAGATCTGATGAAATTCAACATGACGTATTTATTAAGTTAAAATCTTTCTATTTGAAATTAAAGAAAACAATTTCAAATAATTCTTTATGCTTGTATAAGAAGAAAACCAATTATGATAATTAAGTATTCATTGATTTATTTGAAAACAGAATAATCAAGATCTTCCGGGACCTAGTAACCCGTGTGTAGAAGTTCCAAGTCGCATTTGGAATTTCCAAGTAAATCACTTGGAATTCTTCATTCGGAATTTCCGAATCACCATTCGTAGTATTGGAACAACTTTCCAAATGGTTCTAAATGACTTCCAAGTAGTTTCCGAATGACTAAAACTCATACTTTTTCTTCTAGAAATTTCTAGAAATTTCCAAATGACTTCCAAGTTGCTTCCAAATGACTTCCAAATGATCAAATTAATGTATTCAACAAATTAATGCAAGATGTCCATTGGCCCATTTAAACATGTTATTTAGATAACCAACAACCAGCAATTTGAAAATATATTCATCACAAAAACATTATTCTCCTGGCATCATTTAATGATATTTTTATTCAATTATATTATTATTGTATTTACAAGAAAACAAACCTCCCTGGTAAACTACTATCCCGCAAAACTGTTTTATGAATTAAAACATCAACCGATCATATGCAAATTCAAATCACAATTAAGAGTCAATTCCGGTAAATCAAGGTATTTGCTTGGTTCACGAACTTACGGAGATGATAAAACCCTTTTTATTATTATCAAGAACATGTATCGAGGCAATAAATAATTCCAAAAATCTTGAAATGCACTTTTCACACAGTTTCAGTAAATCCAGTTTGAAACTGTCCACTGATGTTACTGTTTCTCCACGGGAAAATGAAGATACATGTACCACTGGAGGAGTCACACACTTAAAAATGTGAAATTTGTCCTTTGGATTACTAGTCTACACATAAGATTTATCATCCATTCAACGTGATCATGATGCAACTCAGATGCAACACTGTATATACGTTTGAACCGCCTGATTTCAAATTCTACGAGGTCGAGCCCGAGACAAGACCTCGAGCCCGATCAGTTGTTAACATAACACCTGCTCATTTAAATATACAGACTAAGTTAAATCTCTGCACTTCCAAATGGTTCCAATTAAATTCCAAATTGAGTTAAGATTTTTCCAAATAAAATTTTCCGAATGACATGGAAGTACTTGGAATTCCGAATGCTTCCAAATACTTCCAAGTAATTCCAGGTTACTTCCAAATGAAACTCGACGGGGAGTTGGAACTTCTACACACGGGAAGAAATCTGATGAAACTCAACATGGGGTATTTATAAATATAAATCACATACTATTTGTAATTTCAGAAAATAATTTCAAATAATTCCTTATGCTTATACACGAAGAAATCTTTAATGATTATTTGTTTTATCTTTCGAAATTAATCAGAATTTAGAGGATTCATTTGATATTTTTAACAGAGTTATCAAGATATTCCGGGACCTAGTAACAGATCTGATGAAATGCAGAATGAGGTATATCTATGTACATGAACAATTTACAGAAAATTTTTAAATGATTATTTTTTATTACAAAAGAATTAAAATAAAATGGGACCTATTCAAAGGTTCACTGAAAATCAAAATACAGGTGCTGATTTCATTTAAAAAATGATTTCAATGTTGATTGCGTATTTTTTTTTCATTTTCAAATTTGTTTATCTAAAAAAATAAAAATAATTTAAGTTTTTGCTTGTATTTCAGGAACCCGTTGAGAGATATACATGTAGAACATGTCATCACAGATTTGATTCGCGTCGTAATCTCTTTGTTCATCAGATAAATGAACATTTTCAAGTGGGAGAGGGAGGATTACAGGCCAGACCATGGGGAAATGGATCCCCTCCTTGGGAAGAAGGTGGGATAGTCGACCGCAACCTAAAAGAAGTATATGAAAGTAATGCACCAATCATATTACGGCGTCATCAAGAGGGGACTGTTTGTAGTATTTATAACTTTCCCATAGATAATCAGTTTTCTGTTGGGGAAATAATGCAAGCAGCCAATGAAATATACGATCGTCAAAATAGAGCTTTCAGATTAAATTTAGAATTTGGTCTCATATTGGTTAACAGCGAAACAAGAGAATTTAGATATTTTAAACCCCATCATAATCAGGAAGTTTTTCAGAGACCCATTTACGTGTCACAGCGCGAACATTTAAAACGTTTGCAGCAGCGAATGCAACGACTTAACATTACGAATTACATATTACGCCAGCGCCCTGACACAAAATGGAAGCCCTATTTAATAACCAATGTATGCATTGTCATATATCATTTGAATTTTGTTTTGGGAAATGCGGAAGTCATGTTACCTCCTCACATTAGTCAATCAAAATCCATAATTAAGCTGACCAAGGACAGGAATGGTCAAATATATACAGATAATCTTTGTGCGTTCCGCTGTTTAGCGGTTCATCAAGGTTACTATCCCTCGGGTTTGGAATCTCGTACACATGTTTTATTTCAACAATGGGTCTCATTTCAAAATACTCATCAAAAAGAAGTGGATTCGAACCCCAAAACATTCCCAGGTATCACTTTGAATGAAATAGTTTACTTTGAAAAATGCTTCAAAATCAATGTAAATGTATTTTCATTGAATGAAAGTCAATCGGCGCTGTCCATTTACAAATCTTCATGTAAATTTTCAGACACTTTACACTTGAATCTGTACGAACATCATCTGTCTTACATTTCTAATTTTAATTGTTATGCTCAAAAATTTCTGTGCAAAACTTGTCATCGTCACTTCAAATACCTCACGAATATGAAACGACATCAGCGTGTTTGCTCAGGAAAAACAAAGAGAAATTTTCAAGGAGGGTTTCATTATTCTCCAAGTACTGTATTTGACAAATTGAATCAATTCGGTATAAATGTTCCCGAGAACGAAAGAATATACGAGTGGTTTTTAGTGTATGACTTTGAGTCCATGCTGGTTCCAATGAACACAGAAAGTTCTGGTTGTCAGCAATACACAGAAAATCACGTACCCATCTCTGTTAGCATCTGTTCTAACGTAGATGGGTACACTGAACCACATTGTATCATTGAACCAGATATCAACACTCTGGTCAAGAACATGGTTCAGTGCATGACAATGATTGCTAATAGGGCTGCTGAACTAGCAAAACAAAAATTTGTCTACGTGTTCGAGGCTCTCGATGACCTTGTTTTCGACAATGTGGACGAGGATATGGCCGAGTACCTCGAACACGAAGACGATGTCAATAAAATGATTGAAGATGAAAAGAAAAGCATAGAAAAGTTGAAGTTGGAAATGGAAGAATATTGCGAGCAGATCATTTGTATCGGTTTCAATTCCGCCAAATACGATATTAATTTGATCAAAAGTTATCTCATTAAACATCTTGAGCTAGATTCGACAAATGGCACATTCACCGTCAAGCGAAATAATGCTTATGCCTGCATAAGTACTCGTAGGTTTAAATTTTTAGATATTACACAGTATCTGAGTCCCGGCATCAATTATTCAGGGTTCTTGCGTGCTTTCGATGTACAAGAATGTAAAGGTTTTTTTCCCTACCAATTTCTAGACTCTGTTGAAAAATTAAATTACCCCGAACTTCCTCCACATGAAGCTTTTTATTCGTCTTTGAAAGATTCAAATATCACAAACGAAGAATACAGCTTTTGTCAAAGAGTATGGGAGGAAAAAAATATGACATTTCGCGATTTTCTGGTGTGGTATAACAACCTCGACGTCAAACCTTTCGTGCAGGCCGTGACAAATCTACAGAAGTACTATTTCGAACGTAACATTGATATATTTAAATGTAGTATTTCGGTGCCAGGTCTTGCGCGTAGAACGAGGTTGGAAAAACTTGTATTCGAGGGAATTCCCGGAAACCTTGTGGTAAGATCATTGGCTTCGATGCTAATGCCCTGTATCTACACTGTATAGGGAAAGAAATGCCCGTGGGTTCTTTTGTGCGCCGTAAGGTAGACGACGGGTTTAAACCACAGAAACGCGATCGATACTCTCTAGCCTATGATTGGTTAGAGTGGCTGAACCACAGTGGCCAGTACAAAATTACACACAAACTGAATTCCGGAAAGGAAAAGAAAATAGGTCGCTTTCCGGTCGAAGGCTATGACGAAGCTTCCAACACCGTGTTTCAGTTTCAAGGTTGTTACTGGCACGGCCACCGTTGTTGGTTAACGCGTCATGTTCAAGACCACAAGCAGATGAGTAGTCGTGAAAAGAAAACTCGCAAAACAACACATTATCTTCAAAGGAAAGGTTATAAAGTAGTAGAGATGCGCGAATGCACTTTCCGGAATAACATTCGGTCTAATTTGAAGTTGAAAAAATTCACAAATTCGCGTAAGCCTAATATGAGTCAAGGTTCTTTGTCTTCGGAAGACGTAATAGTTGCCGTGATGAGTGATAAGTTGTTTGGCATGGTTGAGTGCGACATTCGCGTGCCGGATACATGGCCGGCTCATTTCAATCATCCAACAATGACACCTTACGAGTATTTCTCCGAAATGAGTCCTCTCTTTTGTACATCTGACATTCCGTTTGATGCAATAGGTAGACACATGCAACACCACGCAAAGGTCTTTAACCTGTCTACAAAACCTAGACGATTACTAGTCGGGGGAATGCGCGCACGCCAATTATTAATTGCTACTCCATTACTGAAGTGGTATATAAGTCATGGTCTGGAAATCACAAAAATATATCAAACCGTGGAATTCACGCCACAACGATGTTTTCGATCATTCGTAAGCGACGTCAGTAATGCTAGGCGTGAAGGTGACGTAGATCCTTCTAAAGCAATTATCGCAGACACGCGAAAATTAGTAGGTAATAGTGCTTTTGGATCCACCATCATGGATCAAGAAAAATTTCAGGTCGTCAAATATGTTAGAGGAGAAGGGAATGCCATGTTGGAAATAAATGAGCCTCACTTTAAAAAATTAACAACTTTGATAGAAGACAAGGAATTGTACGAAATAGAAAGAAGTAAAAAGAAATTGAATTTGAACTTGCCCATTCAGATCGGATACTTCATCTTGCAGTATGCAAAACTGCACATGTTGCAATTCTACTATGATTTCATGGATAGATTTGTAGACCGTGCAGACTTTGAATACTGCGAGATGGACACCGACTCTGCCTACATGGCAATATCGGGTTCCACCTTTGAGGCTGTGATTAAACCTGAACTGCGACAGATTTACGATCACGGTCTCAACGGATATTGTACTAGCACCCTAGAGATCGAGGCGGACTGCGACCGACATTGGTTTCCTCGCACTTGCTGTAAGGAACACGCAAAGTACGATCGTAGAACGCCTGGTCTCTTTAAAATCGAATATGAAGGGGACGAGATCATTGGTCTTTGTTCCAAGACTTATATCGTTTCAGCTCGAAAGCAAGTGTCGCTTTCAAGCGCCGTGATAACGGCGAAGCGCTTACTTAAACGAGCTAAGAAATGTAAATCAGTGAACAGGCGGAAAAATATCAAACAAAGAGATATCACCCATTGTAAATTTTCATGTAAAGGTTTTTCAAAGAAAAGAGTAAAAGCACCCCTGACCACTTTTAGAAATGTTTTAAAAACCCAAAAGCATGCTTTTGGGATAAATATGGGTTTTAAACTTCACAATAACCAAATCTGCACTTATCGTCAAGTGAGGAATGGTTTTTCCTACTTTTACTGTAAAAGAAAAGTACTAGCAGATGGTGTGAGTACAAAACCATTAGATATAGAACTGTGTCCATTAAAACCTAAAAAGATCGATGATATCGAAATTGACGACTTCGATTTAAATCTTATTCATCTTCTAGAAGAAGTCGAATAATAGAAGTCGATATACAATTAACTATCAAACATGAGTGAATAAATTTGAAGTTTTAGGCAATGGTATAGGGAGGACTTCATTAATAGGTTTTATTGTTGTTTATTATTTTGTTTATTATTTTTTTTAATTTTTTTTTTCAAATTACTCATAGATATGTCATTCTATTATTAAAAGTATATCGCGTTACTTGTTGTATATAAGTAAGAGTTGCTCTAAATATCAATTGTTTATAAAACTGTGCCCATCTTTCATCAGGCGTGAGTCAGGCATAGACCAAATACATTGTACATATTGTATATAGATTTATGAGAACATATTATGTTACATCCTATAGTTGTTATTTACATAATCATATAAAAATAAATGTTGACAAACAGATTTTGTATTGTCGTGTTTTTGTAGTTTACATGTAATCTTTTATATTATTCAGTAAAAGTTTATAAGAAGCATTAATGTAATGGTGTTGTTGTTTTTTTTTTTTTTAATTATGGAAAGACCCAATAGCACTTCAACAGAATCTTGGAGGTTTCTAGGGAGTAAACTCCCGAAATCGGAAATAGTATATTTCTGTCAAATGACAGTGGTATATATCATCATAATCACTTCTATAGTTAATCTGTCATTAAAAAACGGCTCCTCTGAATTATGGATATCTTTGCTGAGTAGTGCCATAGGTTATGTCTTACCCAACCCGTCTTTAAAGGCTGATAAGATATAAGAACCCTGCTCTATCGCAGAGGGATTAGAAGAATAATCAAGATGAGTATTCCTTTTCAACCTTGTTCGAGCATGTGTATTAGCGGGCAAACAGGAAGCGGAAAGACAAGATTTGTATATCGGTTACTGACTCATTTAGATTAATTGTATGTTAAGGAACCTCCCAAAAGAATTTTATATTGTTACGGAATTCATCAGCCTTTATTTGACGAAATAGAGCAACATATTTCTAACTTGAAATTACATCACGGGATACCTTCTAATGAAACAATTCAAGATTTGACTTCCGATCGCCAGCATACATTAATAGTGTTAGATGATTTAATGCATAGAGTTGTACAGGATGTAGACATGGAACTTTTGTTTACACAGGGCTGTCATCACCGACGTCTCAGCGTCATTTTCATTACCCAAAATATTTTTCCAAGAGGCTCTAAATCTCGAACCATAGCCTTAAATACCTATTATTTAGTACTCATGAAAAACATGAGAAATGCCTCACAGATATCTGTGCTAGGCCGACAACTATACCCAGGACGCTCTAAATTATTAATAGACGCCTACACTGATGCAACTAAACAAGCTTTTGGGTACCTCGTAGTTGATACGTCACCACAAGGCAACGACAAATATAGGCTTCGTACCAACATATTTCCGGAAAAAGAACCCATAGTTTACACCAGTTTATAAGAAAGCCCTTTCAAGTTTATCTTAAAAATGAGTTCCTTGGTTAGAGACCAGAAATCCTTTTTAGAACTTTTACTACAAACATCCCCCGCACAAAGAAAGTTGTTACTGACTTCTGTGACGAAACCACAATTACAAGTGTTGGGAGAAATAGCTGCGAACGTCATACATAGTGTCATTGTACTTAACCAAATTGAGAGGAATATACTTAAAAAGCACAAATCATTTCTTCTAGTTTTGGGGGATAAGACGGCGTCGCGAAAAAGCAAGTTACTTCTCTTAAAAAGAAAACATCGGATCGTTCCCGTTTTTCTAAAAATTGTAAAACCTTTCCTAAGAAGATGGTGGACGTAATGCAAAAATCTGTTTTGGTACCATACGACAAATACCAACGTCTGCTGTCTCTCCAAGAGTCGCATCAGGAAGATTATAAACAAAATTCTACAGAAACACCCAAAAACAAACCTGAAGATATGACTAAACCTGATGAGTTACAACAGGAGACAAATAACCAAAGCTCACAGACTGAGAATTTGGTGGATTCTGAAACTATAGAGGATTTTTTGCGTACATCTCCTGAGCCTTTAAGGAAAATACAGCCAGCACTCCAAAAGACTTTAAAAATCGCAAAAAAGATTTTGAAATCCGCAAAGAAACCTTATTCTCGATACAGACTTAATAAAACTTGGATTCAATTTTAAACCATATTCACTGTTCTATTATTAATCATCAATGCTGCATACTAATAAAGAATTATATATAATTTTTTATTCTTTTGTTATCTATTCATCTGTATTTACAAGTAACTCTCTATTGTACAAGATTATTCTAAAGAAATAACCCAATTTCGTATGTGAATTTTATTAAATGATAATAACTAATAATTTTTAGTCAACTCTGTTTTTTTATCGTTACTTAGTATAAAATCAACTTGAAGGTTTCTGTTAGCAGCAATTAAGACACAAAATAATTCTATTCATGTTTCAATTTTATTAAAATATTAAATACCTAGTATTATTTTCAAATTAAAAAATCAACGTAAAAGTAAAAATGGTTCGTATAATTTTATTGATGTAATTGTTTTACATAGTCCGAGACCAAACGGTCGTTTTCATGCAAATGTGATACACTAAAATCATGCATAATATTTTTCATAGAAAATCCCACATTTCTTTTAACAATGAAATAAATACAATAATGTCCACACACACTAGACGTTTCTGATTGGATTCTTGAATTGGAGTATTGATATTTAGGACCGTTAATTGTCAAAATGTATCTGAATCTGGTGTTGTAAAATTCCGGAGAGTTTCCTAGAGAATCAAAAAATTCTGCTCGGCCTCTTAAAGGAAAGTGAAAAGCGACCCAATGCTTTCCTCTTCCTCCGCAACTGTCTGTATTGACTACCCAAAACCTATGTTTCCTGGCGTTGGTTGGCAATTCATCAGCACACGTAACTTGTACGTCATACCTCGACAAATAAGATTTCAATTCAAAGTTATTCATTTGAATATGATGCTTCGAGATTGGTCGATGTGGAGAACTTGTGGAAATCTTCCATATAAAATCAATGTTACGCTCTCTGGTAATGGAAATGCGAATTTGAGTTCTAGGCGACAGTGACCTTTTCTTCTTGTGTTAAAATCTATGTAGGGATTGATGTCCAATACGTAAAGGGCATTGCCT